TTAGTTACTTGTAATTTTAAATTTTAAGTAATATGTATCAATAAACAGTATTTATGCATAAAAAATGGATTTTAAGAGTTTTTTGTCAAATGCTTTATACTATAGTATAAATATATTGCTACATATTTTTAAAAGATAACACCATACGCACTTTTTTATATCAAAATCAGATCAAATCATGTATTAATATTAGTCCAAAAATTGAACTACCATCATTAGGATCTATTTTTAGCTTCTGTGTGGGGATCATCTCAAATCTACCCATGGACCAGTTTTTTTTAATGAGGAGTCACCCTAGCCATTAAGCCAGTTAGCTGGACCAGTTCTAACTGGTTTCGGTCCCAACCTAAAGCTTGAACTAATCCCTCTATAATCGATCGAGGACAAAAAAGAAGTAACAACATTGGACCGGTTGCCTTAATTGGTTCAATTTTTATTTGTTTCTTTATTAACATTATCATCTATACTATATTATAAAACATTTGACAAAAACTTTTAAAAATCATTTTTTATGTATATTACTTAAAATTAAAGATTACAACTAATTGTGCGTAAATACAATTTATTAAAGCTTCATGTTTGAATTCGTGTAACTAACTGCAGATAAACATAATCAAATAGAGAATAATTATCTCATTTTAAATATAAAAAATCTAAAATATAATTAAGATAATCGTTGAGTTCTAATAAAATACTTGATTGTTATCTTTATAAAAAATTTATTATTAAACCAAAAATACAAAAATATGAATTAGAGAAATACACAAAAAGATGATAAATTTTAAATGGTTAGTTTGATACTAACATCAATATTTTCTTTCGATTTTTAATGATATATTTTCATATTTAGATTTTATTTAAAAATAAAAACATTATCGTTTTCTTAAAACCACATAAAACTATATTATAACATCAACCAAGACAAAAAAACGAAATATTAAAATCAAGATATATCTTATTGCATTTTACGAGTACCCTTCTAGTTATCATTAATAAATATACAAATATATTATATTTTGAGAAATGGTTGAAAATAGTCATTTTTGACCCTCCAATTCACTTTATAGCCACTTTTCTTCACATAATTAACCGAAATTACACTTTAGCCCCTTCTTTTTTCTTCTCATCGGAGTTATTTCACAAAGATTTGCCGGGTAGTTGGAGTTACGAAGGCGTGGCTGGAGCGCATACTGTGTTTTCCCGTTCATCTTCGGCGTAAGATGGATTTACCCAAGATCTTTGGAAACAAAACTCAGGGGAGTTTGAGATTACTTATAAAAACAACTTATTGACTTATTTCAGTGTGACACAGGTAATAAACATTTTTAAGTGTTTGAATAAACAATTTATACCGATGCCAAATCAGTAATAAATTTTTTTTAAAGAAATTAAACCATTCTACTTAATAAGTGTTTTTCTCAAATGTAGATCAAAGAAATTATATTTCTATTTATAGAAAGATTGGTTTGAATTACATGAACATCTTCATTTCCCATTTTAAAAGACATGAATTTTATTTGTGTTGTTCTTCATTTCCAAGCACAAGAAGCAACCAAATCTCTGTTCATCCACCCAAGATACAGGGCTCCATCTCTTTCTTCAACCCTGTATCTCTCACTATAGTTGTTTAGCAGCCTTTTGATCGTTCCGTTCACCACTGGACTCATCGGGCTCGGGCTAAACCCCGCCATACTGAACCGTAACTTCCACTTCCCCAGAAGCTCGTGGCGTTCGACCCTCTCGTTCCCCTCGCACGCTATTATGTTTACCACGTCTCGAGCCAGACAATGCTGTTCGACGTTTATTCGTTTCTTGTGTTGCCGTGGAAGAGTGATGTCGATAGACTCGAACATTGCATGGTAATACTCGAGAGCCTCGAGAAACCGAGGGTAAAACGGAGCTGTGTTTGTGTTAGATTCTTGCTCGACTAGGGTTACAACTTTCGGGTTCATGCTCTTCACAAGCCTCAACACTCGATCTCTATGGTTTTGAGTGCTCACGCTCTCATCCGGCATTCGATGCAAAACAAATGCGAAATTCACCGCCAAAGACTCGCCGGGTTGGGCACGGAAACTCTCGATCCCAACCTCGGTGTGGAACTCAAAAGGCACATTGTAGGCTTTTGCTAGCTTGCATAGCCTTTTACCTACAATATGCAACTTGCTTGTGGAGTCATGGAAGCCCGTAATCCTGATATGCGGGGGACCACCGGGTCTCTTTGCAAATGCCTGGATTAACGGGACCCACTGACTCCCTTGTACGATGCGGAAGTCGATGATATGGATGCGTTTTTCGTCCTTCATCGCTTCCGCTATTGCACCGTTTGCGGACATGTAACCGAACTTGAAATACGGACAGATTTCGTACAAGATGTTTGTGTACGATAGAAGGTCGTCGCTAGCGGGCTCTTTGCATATCGAGCTTCCGGAACACGAGAGTCGAGCCACAAGCCCTTCCAACATGTAAGCCCCAAGCCGCTGGATCGGTTCTCCGGCAACCGACACCATCTGCTGCAGCTCCGAGATCAGAAATCGGGCAGTCGAGACCTCGTTATTCGAAACTGCATTCGCGCAGGCAATCAGAACCTCCTTCAAATCCCGTTTCGGAACACCCTCCACCATTTCTTTCCAGATTTCTATATCGGGAAGCTCAACGATGCCATTCCCAACCAACAACTTTCCATTTTCGGCATCCTCATACAAATCCGAAAGCATTACACTCTCCAATTGCCTCAGCTTATTTCTGAACTCATTCAAGTCATCAGTCACACAAGATTCAGTCACAGGAGAACGAGATTCATGGCCGTTTGGCGAGTTAAAGATGGTGGTACAACTGCCGCTAGCGGAGGAAGAATCGAGGGGGCAATATGGCTCCGATTTGATGTACAAATTGCTTCCATGGCTGATACTGTCTAAAGCTTGAAATTGGGGTTTGCATAGAACCTCATATTCTTGTGTCGATTGGTAGTACCACGTATTCGACATGGCTGGTCTGTCGTTTCGGGATGCTTGCATACAAGAACTTGAATACAATATTCTCAACTGCAGAGGATTTCAACTTCAAGAATCTGCAGAAAAGGGGGAAACTTCTTATGAAGAACACATCTAAAGTCATGGTCAAAGAAAATGGAAAACACAGGTGAATTTGGTCAATATTCCTCACAATTTTGTTGCAGAAAGAGGGAATTTTGGTCAAATTCATAAGCATAATTTGCTTATGAAACAAAGAATTAGAAATCAGATAAATAGCTCAAGATTCATGAAAAAATGGATGAAGATTCCATTAAATTGCAAAAATTTGAGGGTCATTCAAGCAAGTTATGCCTTCTCAGAGGAACCCATCTGACGTTTTCAATATCTTTTTGGGGATTTTGCTCCCAATTTGAATTTGGGATTGAAACCCTAAGCATTTGAAGACACTTTCAGTTTATCATAGCCACTGGGTTCATAAAAAATGGCTGAAGATCCCAATAAATTTCAGGTAATTCAAGAAAGTCATGCTTTTTTAGAAGAATCCATCTCAAATTTTCAATCTTTCTTAATTATATGCAGGTTTTTAAGGCTCACTATATTCCTACTTTATCACTCAGTCCATCAATCTGTATCAAGATCCCATTCAATTGCAGGGAAATTGAGGGTAATTCAAGAAAGTTACGCCTTTTTTTTACAAGAACTCATCTCCAATTTCCTTCTTCCCTGCAAAAATTTCCCCCGATTTGATTTGGGAATGAAACCCTCACCATCATCAAACCAAACTCTTTGCTCTCATACGCCCTTCAAAATCAATAAAAACCCTAACCCCAGAATCAAGCATAAGAACATCTGAACATGCACAAAACACACACACACACACACACAGAGAATAGAGAAAACCCACCTCTGGAAACACCATTAAAATGAGTTGTTGAGCTCAAGTTTCTGCAGGCAAGTGCTAAAAATGGAAGAAAAAAAAACCAATTAGTCAGAAAGCATCAAGGGGCAATTGTTGAAAGAAGAAAATGAGGAAAAAAACAAGAAAGTTGAGAGTGTGAAGATGATGAAGACAGATTATATAGAAAGCAGCTGGATTGAATGGGTTGTTGATTGGCATACCAAGGCAAGGAGTGTAATTTGGGTTTGAATCAGAGAGTAAACTTGGGAGAATGTTGAAATTGAAAGTGGAGTGAAGGAAGGAAAGGAGAGAGAAATGGGGACTTTGAATTAGATGATGTGGTCTTATACAAAGAATTATGATCAAGAATGCTCCTTCAATAAATATATTATTACGATAATACCCTCCATTTTTATAATGGATCATGAATCCAACCAACTTCACTGTATTTTTATTAAAAGACTCCTCATATGTAATTGTATCAAAAATCGAGGGTTGTTTTCGTCATTTTACTCTTTTCTATGTCTTATCCTTGTTTTGATGATAGCTCTTGTTGCCTTTAAATTAACCCTCCCCTTGTTGGACTCGATTTGTTTTCGACGACCCTCACCACCACCAGACATCACACCCACCTCTCGAGACCGTCTTGTCTTAATTTAAGACTAAACGTTGTCACAAACACCCTTTCTATGTTAACTTCGACCATCATTTTCGATATGCAATTATTGTTGTTTTAATGTTGTCTCCCACTATACACACGCATATCTCACACCCAACTTCTACCTTCGCCATTTAGGTCGTTTTTTTGGTTCAAGTCATGGTGTTTCAATGGAGAATAGATGTGGTGTTCAGGGTTGTCATTAGAGCTTCACCGTAGTTTTTTTGGTAGGGGTGGGGGAGGGGACATGAAAGTAGAATCAGATTTTTCGAAGCAGACTAACTTGATTCGTATCATGCTTGAAGACTGCTTGAAAGCTAATCCTGATTTCCTTCTTGCTTGACTGAATTTCAAAAAAAGCGATTCCATCGAGGAAGGAGAGGGTTAAAGGAGGAGATGGCGTCCTTATCTATAATATATTATAAAACATTTGACAAAAACTCTTAAAAACCATTTTTTATGCATGAAGTACTGTATATTGATGCATATTACTTAAAATTCAAGATTACAAGTAAATTATGCATAAATATAACTTATTAAAGCTCCATGTTTGAATTTATGTAAATAATTGCGGATTAACATAATAAAATAGAGGATAAACATCTCATTTTAAAATATAAAAAATCTAAAATATAATTATAATAATTATCGAGTTTTAACAAAATAATTAATTATTATTTTTATAAAAAAATTATATTATTATACCAAATATAAATTACTTCGTCATTGAACCTAAATTAAATTATAATAAAAAAATTGAATTAAAAAATTATCCAAAAAATATGAATTTTAAATAGTTTATTTGATACTAATATCGATATATTTTTGTCAAATTTTTATGATATCTTCAAATTTATATTTTATTCAAAAATAAAAACATCATATTTTTTTCAAAATCACATAAAACCATACTATAACATCGACATAGATAAAAAAATAAAATAAAATATTAATATCAAGATGTATTTTACTGCATTACGTGACTATCCTTCTAGTTTAATATTAAAGAATAACCCTCAACAAACAAGAAAATCTTGACAAAGTTAAATAAAAGGGTCATATTTAAAGTAAATGAAAACTATAATAATCATTATTATACTTATCAAAGTAAATGGATAGCGTAGTTACTCTTAAAAAAATGATAGTTGTTAATACTTTTTCGTAAAAAAGATACCAGATGACGAGTCATCATAGAAAAGTGATTATTAACTTTAAAAATACGTTTAATTAATTTTAAAGATGATTAAATAATTTTATATTTATAATTTCTTTTTCTTTAAATTTGATTCTTTGAAAAAAATATAAGAACCAATTTTACTAACACAAAATTTGAGCAGCATCATCATGAATTTTTTCATTAACAGATGAATAAGTTAGAAGGAATAAAAATCCCCTTGTGACCACAGAGGTTCAAATGCAATGGCTCCAAGCTATCTACAACGCATGTGGTCGTCATGGGATTAGTCGGCTTATATAGCGGGTTGGATATCCAGGTTAATAAAAAAAATAATTCCACAAATAATAAAAGATAAGATATCAACTCAGATCAAAAGGAAAGGTTGATTTGAAAAATAGAAATAAACTGTTATATTATATGTTACTAATTTAATAAAATAATAAGAAAATGTTTTTCAATGAATTTGACCAATTTGTTATTAATACTTTTTTATTTTCTATTTAAAACAGTTAAAAAGAGTCCCCCACCTTCTCATGCTAACTCTTACTTTACCTTATCAGTATAGAGACTGAACCATCGCTTTCGTAATTTTCTACTACTCGTTCAATCCCTTTACACCTATCACTCTCATTATACTCTTTCTACGATATACAAATTCTACAGGTTTTGGACAACTATTTTGCTAAATCTCACTTGATTATGAGTGTTTCAAATTTCTTGTACACATATGATTTCATGAAAATAGATGATAAGCGTAATGACATACCCACTTTTAGCACACATTTTTAGGTTTCTGTATCATCTTATTTTTTATTATCCAGTCACAAATTGAGTCTTTTATTCTTATTTTACTTTTATTCAGTCTGAAACTAAGTTAACATGGTAACTTGCTACAACAACCTGTTGCAACATGGAACTAGCTTGTTGATGATCTAGTCAAGTAATCAGTTGAAGACAAGTTTCCCACTGTTGAAGCGAAGTTAGAGATTGAAAGGAGTAACTCAGCTGACGGAAGGAAGGAAATGATAACCTATTACTTTTTGGTAAAGTCTCTGAACATAGGTGTTCCAGATCCACCTATCATCGTCTGCATAATCATAAAAAGTATCATTAAAACATAAGTTGACTTTTTGTTTGGATTTTACATGTTGGGCAATATGTCCCCTAGTTGTCTTTTTATTGTCTTTTGGCCCTCCTCTTTAGTATAAAACAGATGGAGCTAGTAATGTTCATGACGAAGGTTAGATCAAGCTATTCTAAGTTTTGATCTCTCCAAGTCTTTTGTTTAATCATGCAGTTTTAATTTCAAGTTCTTAATCTTTTGGTTACTGCTTGTTGTTGCAGCAACTGTTACTGTTTTCACAACTTTATATTTTCTGCACATTTACATTTTCAGCAAGTTACTTTCATGTTATTTAAATTCTAGTCTTTAATTCCAGCAATAGTGGGATAAATACCCTAACTTGAGTGTGAGTAAAGGTCTGAGAGATAAAAGCCTTAGGTGGCGTTTGTTTTTTAAGAGGTACTGAAGTCTGAATTCATTTCTGATTTTTAAGAGGTGGTGTTGAAGTCTGAAATCTGAATCAGTCAGACTGTTTGTTTTTTGCATCTGAAATCTGAAGTTTGAAGATGAGAGATCGAGAGTTGATATGGATCGACAGTTGACAGAGTTGAGAGATGAGAGATCGAGACAGAAGAGTTGATCCATAGAAATCGAGCGCAAAGAGATCAGAGTAGGTAGGCGACGATTTGAAATAAGAGGTAATAAGAGGTTGTGCAACCACTGAAATCTTCAGACCTAATAAGAGCTTTTAAGCTCTTAATTGAAAAAAAAAAAAAAACAAACACACTGAATCCTCTTATGTCTGACCGATTCAGACTTAAGAGAACATTAAGAGCTTTTTTATTAAAAACAAATAGCCCCTTAGTGTTAGTGCATAATTGTTTTCGCTAATAGCTTTCAACTCCACTATTCACTCCTTGTATCTACATTTCATCCAAGTAATTCTTGACAATTCCATGGATGTTGTTTCACTTGGATGAGTTGTACTTAAATGTAAGCCAACACAAATATTAGACCACTGAGTGTTATAAATGGCTATAAAAAGTTGTGTCAACTTTTACAGGTTGCAAAGTATATGGAAAAAATAATATGGTCTTTTGAATACTGCTAGCAAGTGTCTAACTTGAACCTCGAAGGAGGGTTGTTCAATCTAGTAGTGGTAGTTGAGAACTAGTTGCAACATCATCCTCTGAAGAACTTCCTTAGTTCTTCAGATCTGAAAGAGAACCCTCTTCCTCCCTCTCTTTCAGTTTAACAAATTTGTCATAGTCAGATAGTTTAGGATCACCACTCTTACCTTCCTACCTTTTTGTATATTATTTAGTTCAGTACATATCCATTTTTAGCACATTTTTTAGGAATTCAATTTATCTCATTTTCATTATCTTAATCACAAATTGAGTCTTTTTATTCTTACTTTACTGTTATTAATGTGGAGCTAAGTTATAGAATTTGGTCATGTTTGTGTTAACTTGCTGCAGCAACCCGTTAACTTGCTACAGCAACCCGTTAACTTGCTGCAGCAACCTGTCGTAGCATGAAACTAGCTTGGTTGATGATCTAGTTAATTTCATTCAAGACAAATTTCCTTGTTTAAGCAAAGTTGGAGATTGAAAGGAGTAACTCAGCTGATGGAAGGAAGGAAATGATAACCTATTTTTTTAGGAGTTGACTTTTTGTTTGGATTTTACATGTTGGACAATATGTCCTCTAGTTGTCTTTATATTATCTTTTGGTCCTCCTCTTTTTTTTTGATTAACCTGGATATCCAACCCGCTATGCGAGCCGACTAATCTCACGGTGACCACTTGCTTTGCGGGTATCCCATAGTCATCGCATTTGAACCTCCGTGGCTACAAGAGGATTTTTATTCCTCCTTGGATTTGTAAATGAGACCTCCACGTACTCTTGACCTTTGGAGCTCAAGCTCAAACCAATCAGGCACCACTCTTGTGGTTGTCCTCGTATTTATTATAAAATGATGGAGTTGGTAGTGCTGATCATAGAGGTTAGATCAAATTTCCTAAGCTTTTATCTCTCCAAGTCTTTTGTTTAATCGTGTAGTTTTTAATTTCAGGTTCCTAATCTTTTTGGTTATTGTTTGTTGCTGCAACAACTGTTACTGTTTTCACAGCTTTATGTTTTCTACGTATTTATATTTTCAGCAAGTTGCTTTCATGTTATTTACATTTAAGTCTTAATTCCAACAATGATGGGCTAAACGCTATAATTTAGGTGTGAGTAAAGGTTTGGAAGATAAAAGCTTATGTGTTAGTGGATAACTGTTTTCGCTAACAACAATCAACTCCACTATTCAATCATTGTTTTTATGTTTCATCCAAGTAATTCTCGACAAATTAACACATGTT